AGATTCTTACGGCATCTTAAGTGACCCTGAAGAGCTAAAATAGTCTTGAATAAGAACAATGTCTGAGGACTCCTACTGTCTCCTTTTAAACTTGTACTGGGGCCAGCAGGTGGCGTGGTGGTTAAGGGTGTTGGACTCCACATGGCAGATGGCATTTTGAGTCCCAGACTTGGCGACTTGCTTTCTCACTTTCCCTCTCTCTCTCACTCTGTCCCTCTCTGGTCAAATAAAATAAATAAATAAATTTAAATAAAATAATTCTTTAATACAACAACAACAACAACAACTGAAACTACCAGCACAGCTATCTAGAGAAGGCTAGACATGCAGACCAGTGGAATAGAATCGAAAGTCTAGGGGAAAAATATGTATCTATGGTGAACAGATTTTTTGACAAGGGTTCCAAGGCCATTACAAATAATAGTCTCTTCAATAAATGGTCTTGAGAAAGTTGGATATTCACATGTGAAAGAACGAAGATGGGGGCCAGTAGGTGGCGGTGGTGAAGATGTTGGACTCCCACATGGCTGTCTGCCTTTCAAGTTGTGGATGTGGTGGCTTGCTTTCTCACTTTCCCTCTCTCTCTCTTTCTCCGTCTCTGCTGAGCACATGAGTCTTATACCAAACTTAAAAAAAGATAATAAATAAAGTTAAATATAAAAATAGATACTAAAAGAATGAAGATGGACCCTGACATTACATCATATACAATCATTAAAACTCAGGACCAGCAGATGGCATAGAGGTTACGTGGCTGGACTCCCACATGGCTGACTGCGGTTTGAGTTCCAGACTCAGTGGCTTGGAAATCACACCAGGTGTGCGTGTGTGTGTGTGTGTGTGTGTGAAATATCTGGAGAGGAGAATGGAGGGGGGGGGATTGGGGTGTGGCCATCGCCCGGGGGAGGGTTGAGAAATAGAAAAACCCACCCTAAGATTCTTACGGCATCTTAAGTGACCCTGAAGAGCTAAAATAGTCTTGAATAAGAACAATGTCTGAGGACTCCTACTGTCTCCTTTTAAACTTGTACTGGGGCCAGCAGGTGGCGTGGTGGTTAAGGGTGTTGGACTCCACATGGCAGATGGCATTTTGAGTCCCAGACTTGGCGACTTGCTTTCTCACTTTCCCTCTCTCTCTCACTCTGTCCCTCTCTGGTCAAATAAAATAAATAAATAAATTTAAATAAAATAATTCTTTAATACAACAACAACAACAACAACTGAAACTACCAGCACAGCTATCTAGAGAAGGCTAGACATGCAGACCAGTGGAATAGAATCGAAAGTCTAGGGGAAAAATATGTATCTATGGTGAACAGATTTTTTGACAAGGGTTCCAAGGCCATTACAAATAATAGTCTCTTCAATAAATGGTCTTGAGAAAGTTGGATATTCACATGTGAAAGAACGAAGATGGGGGCCAGTAGGTGGTGGTGGTGAAGATGTTGGACTCCCACATGGCTGTCTGCCTTTCAAGTTGTGGATGTGGTGGCTTGCTTTCTCACTTTCCCTCTCTCTCTCTTTCTCCGTCTCTGCTGAGCACATGAGTCTTATACCAAACTTAAAAAAAGATAATAAATAAAGTTAAATATAAAAATAGATACTAAAAGAATGAAGATGAACCCTGACACTACATCATATACAATCATTAAAACTCAGGACCAGCAGATGGCATAGAGGTTACGTGGCTGGACTCCCACATGGCTGACTGCGGTTTGAGTTCCAGACTCAGTGGCTTGGAAATCACACCAGGTGTGCGTGTGTGTGTGTGTGTGTGTGTGCAAATATCAGCCCCAAAGGTTTGAAAAACATGCCAGCTGCATGAGTGCATGCCAAGGATCCTGATGGGAAGGGACTTGAGGAAAAAGGATTCTCTCTGCCCTGCCCTGTAGCATTACAGGTTTTTTGTTTAAATGTCAGGCTCATCAGGAAATGGTGAGTTCTCCCCATCCCCTCCTTGATGAATGTATTGACCTACACGTTCCCAAAAACATTGTTCAGGGAGACCCTGGCAAGCTGACTGGTGGCCCACCAGTGCCCAGGAGGAGAATGGAGGAGAAGGGATTAGAACATAGCCATACCTCCTGGGGGAGGAGGTGATTTCTCACTTTCCCTCTTTCTGTCTCTCTGTGGTGAGCACACATACCCTCTGGGGGAAAAATAAAAAAAAGAGTTCAAATGGCCTGCCCTATAGCCTCGTGGTTAAGGGAGCCAGATCCCACATGGCCAGCCATGGTTTGAATTCTGGCCCTGGCAGTTTGAAAAACACAGCACGTGAATGTGCACAAGTACCTGGAGTCCCAGTGGGATGGACAATGAAGAAGGGATTGTGTTGTAACTGCACACCACTGAGGGCTGCTTTCCCCCTCTCCCTTTGTCTGTGCCAAGTGCACATGCCAGTCATCAGTATTTTAAAAATTACTTTAAAAATGGCATGGTGGTTGAGGTGCTGGACTCCCACATGGCTGACTGTAGTTTGAGTCCTAGACCTGGTGGTTTGCTTTCTTCCTCTCTCTCTCTCCTCTTTAATTGGTAAGCAAATGTGTCCTATAGCAAATTAAAATAAGAATAAATAAAATAAAATTAAAAAGTTTTTAAAAATTAGTTAAAATGGAAATTTTATGTTAAGTCATGTTATGTTATGTTCGTTTGTTTGTTTTTTGAAGAAAGGTTTTTGCTATAGGGGACATGCATTTGCTGGAAAGACAGAGAGGGCAAGAGAGACAGAAAACAAGAAATCACCCCCTGGGAGGATGGCCATGCCACAACCTCTTCTCCTCCATTCTCCTCTCAGGATCTTGGGCACGCATGCACACACACGCACTTGGTATGATTTTAAGCTGTCAGGTCTGGGACTCAAACCATGGTCAACTACATGGGAGTCCAATGACTTAACTATTACACCATCTGCTGGTCCCCTGTCATGTATATTTTACCACAATTGCAAAATGAAAGAAAAAAAAATTAAACATCCAAGACCTTATTAGATGGGAGCTGAGACTGAGAGAACAAGTCTGAATCCCAGCTATCTGCTAAAGGAAGCTGCCCGAATCCAGGGAATCATCTCCTCCCTGTGCCTGTGGTGGGGGTCAGGAGTAGAGGCTGAGCGGGGACATTTGTGTGGGAAGGACTTCCCAGGAGGGGGAGTGCTGGTTCTTCCCTCTAGGTTAGGAGCCGTTGAATCAGATGTGTTCTGATCACAGAGCGATGCATTCTGATTCCTGATGCAAGGGGGCGACCCATCTCTTTACACACGATGAACGCTTTGTTTCAGGAGCTGATGGGAACTCTGGGTTTGCTCCGCCCCCAGGTGTGCTACCAGAGAGGCCCAGTCAATCCACATGGACTCCCTGGTTGCCTGACAGGCAGGAGACCGTGTTGGAATGAATGAACAGACGCAGAGAGTTCTCCAGTCCCTTAGGCTGTGCTTTCAGTAGCTGCTGTCCGGGAATCTTAAGACTTGTCCTCATCCTTGCGGTGTACCCCTGGGTCTCTGACTCCAGCCCCATAGGTGTAAGATGGGAGTGAGTGCATCTGAAGAGGGGCTCTGCATTGGGGTTTGGACATTGGCGGGCCACCACTCAGCTTGTTAGGTTCTTCCTGAACAATGTTTTCGGGAACTTGTAGGTCAATACACTCATCAAGGAGGGGTTGGTGAGAACTCACCATTTCCTGAGGAGTCTGACAGTTTAACAAAAAAAACCTGTAATGCCACAGGGCAGGTCAGAGACAGAGAGAACCCCTACATGGCAGGGCCTGGTCACGCTGCAATCATTTGTTCTCAATTTCCCTTCCCATCAGGATCCTTGGCATGCACGCGTGCATCTGGCATCTTTTTCAAACCTCTGGGGCTGAGATTTGAACACTAATCCACGTGTCCCTGTCCTAAGCACTTATTCCATCAGGCAAGTAGACCCTCCGCCAAAGTAGCAACAGTGCTTTAAAATGGACTCAGAATATGTCCATAATGAATGGAAATTGTGATTATTTTCTGAAGCATCACAAAATAATAGGAAGTAATAGAAGAGGAAGTAAAACTTCTATTTTTCAAGAAAAGGTAGAAGCCCAGAAGCTTTTTTTTTTTTTTTTTTTTTTTTTTGCTATAGGGCACGTGTGCTCGCCAGAGAGACAGAGAGAGACACAGAGACAGAAAGCGAGAAATCACCCCCCATGGGGGATGGTCACACAGCAATCCCTTCTCCCCCATTCTCCTCTCGGGATCTCGGGTACGCATGCACACGCGCCCGGTGTGAGTTTTAAGTCAACGGGACAGGAACCGCGGTCGACTACGTGGGAGCCCAGCGACATAGCCATTACGCTAACTGCTGGTTCCCAAGCCCAGAAGCTTTTGAAAGGAAGAAAAATTTAATTAAAAAAAAAAAAAAAGTAACCTTGGAAACTTAACAGGTTTATAAATAATGAGCTTTCTGACCTTTTCTGTTCTGGTTTGTTCTGTCCAGAGACTTCACCCCTTTTTTATGGGTCATCTTGGGGTAAATCACATATGTAGGTGGGTCAGAATGACAACAGGAATGACACAATTGTGGCACCAAATATCATGAGGTTTCTACCCGTATCTTTTCTTTCTCTCGCTCTCTTTGACAAGGTCTAGCTACATCCTGATCCTCTTGCCTTAGGCTCCAGAATTGCTGGACCTACAAGCTTATGCTTTTAGGGGTGGATTGGGAATTGAACCTGAGCCTCCAAAGTGGCTTCAGCCTGCTGAGTAGCAGTGTCTCTCAGCACGTGCTACCACGGATAATCTCTTTAGTGGGCAGCGTTTATTGCCTGGGTTACCTTGCTCAGTCACAACTCTGCAGAGATGGTTTCGGTAACTGGAGTTCCCTTCCCTAGGGCAGGACATTTCAAGGCGCGACGTCTCAAGTCCATCGAGTGTATATCATTTATTCACTTGTTCCTAGACGTCTGTAGTGCTTATAGAGCAGGATACGTCAATCCTGCATGGCTGGTGCTAACGGGCCTTTTTTGTTTCACCCGAGATGATATTCTACTGCAAGCACTTCCCAAAGTTCCGAATGATCCGCCATTTGATGGAACAAGAACGGAAGGCAAAGCAATTACAAAGAGAGACGTGGAAGAAAGCAAGTACATGTTAACACCATAGTGCGCCTGTTCCTATAGGCCTGCGTGCTGTATTGTCTGTACTACCTTCTCATTTTAGCATTCTTTAAGCTAAACTGCGGTGTGAAAGAAAGAATGGTCTAAAATGCTCTCTGTAACCTTCCCCCAGTGATGGAGTCTGGGCCTAAAGTGTGAACATCCCTGTATGCTGGGGTGATTCCTGACGTGCAGTGTCAGGCGTGTCCTACCATTCTGGAGGCTGTTCGGACGACAGAAACCTGACTTGCAAGTGGGGCTCACTCTTCCTGGCAGGAGGAGCCCCGAGTAGCACAACTTTCTGTCCAGTGTATTTTTCTACTTCCATGTACACTATGCAGTTTGACAGAGCTAGTGCAGTTGTTGACACCCCTTTCAGTAACTAAAACAAGATTGAAACTTAACTTGCCCTGGGCACACGGTTAGAAAGGACAGAACAGAAGAACATGCTCTTCCCAAAAGCAGCTTTATATTATTGGAAAAAAATAAAAAAGAGAGTTGCACTTTGTAAATTAAGGCAGGTGTCCGATCACAGGTAATACTAATACATTTGTGAATCAGAAATTGAGCAGCACATCCACGTGTCCCGGGCAGCAGGGCACATGCCACGTTGGTACTTTGCATACAGATGTGCATTTCAATTTCTGAGGGTAGTTTCCAGCAGCCACTGCCTGGGCCCCCCTGCAGTCAGGTGACACCCGACTACATTGATACATTAGCTTTCAAACACAACTTTCCACATACAGGTGTAATTCCATCTTAGCACTTCAACTTAAAATTGTGAAGGAAAATGTGGAACTTTTAAATGTGTAACTGAAAAAATACTCCTTTTTTTTTTTTTTTCTACTATGCATTTCATCAAAGGAGCCAGTGTTGCTTGGAATTCTCCAGAACCAGAATATTTCCTTGGCAGTATGGACAACATTTCCAATAACGGTAAATGGAAAGGATAAAAATGGAGTTGGAGGTCGATTAGTCACAGTGTATTTTCCTCTTGCCCGAGTTCAGAATGGAATGTCAGACCGAGCTAAGGGTCCGGCAGACGGAGCTCGGTAGAGACATTTCTTGGTAGAGAAATCCTTGGCTGGATAGGGGGGTGCCTCGCCCCCAGTTAGGACTGTCCTAGTCACTAGTACAGGGTTTAGCCTACCATGATCTGCTCTGAGCGTCTGTTCTGTAAGCTGCAGGGCATATGGGTGCCAA